TTTTTTTTTTTTGTGTGTGTGTATGTGTGGGTTTCTTTGAACACTTGATGACAGTTCTGTTGTGCCTGTTTTTGACAAAAATTTATAGACATAAGTAGTGAATCCAGAGAAATCCCATTTTCAGCACACACTAGGGAAGCACACCATTAATTTTCCAGCTTGACTCTTTTCCAGCTGTTGCAGTTATGCAACCCCCTCAGCAGGAAAATCTTTCAGACCCTCAGGGTCATCACACAGCTGTTTCTGATAAAGGGCCTGAGAGGTGTTACAGGAATTACACCCATTGAAAAGAGCCTTGTGCCACATCCTGAATCCTCCCTGGAGCCTGGTGCCTACTGCACGGTACTGAGTGTGTGGAGCCTTGTGCCCGGTCCCTGGTCCACAGGTGCCGGGTGAGCAGCAGTCTGGCACTCGGTGAGTGACATGTGGGTCCTGGCACATGTTATGCAGTGCCTGGTCCGTCATACCCCATGCTGGGTCCGGAGAACCCTGGTACATAGTGCACCCAGTGCATGGGGTGTGCTGCCTGGTACCTGGTGCATGACACCTGAGCCTGGCACCTGGTGCATGACACCGTGTGTACTGAGTGCCCAGGGCCCTCTTCACCATGTGCAGTCCACAGGATCCGGTGCATGGTGCCTGATACCAAATGCACAGGGCCCTAGTGCATGGTGCACAGAGCCTAACACCTGGTGCGAGACAACTTGGGGCACGCGGCTTGCTGTATGGTACCTGCTGCACTGTGCTCAGTGTGTGGTGCTTGGCTCGTCATACCAGGTGCATGGGGTCTAGTACTAACATGGAGTGCAGGGTGCATGGAGTGCAGGGTGCCTGGTGCCTGAAACCTGGTTCACAGCATCTGGAGCATGTGGCTTGCTGTCTGGTACCTGCTGCACTGTGCTCAGTGCATCACACCAGGTGCATGGGGTACAGTGAGGAACACAAGCGCAGGGTGCTCTAGTGCATGGTGCCCAAAGCCTGGTGCACAGAGCCCAGAGCACGCGGCTTGCTGCACGGTACCTGCTGCACTGGGCACGGTGCTTGGTTCATCACAGCAGGTGCAGGGGGCTGTGGYGCGCAGTGCCTGATACCCGCTGCACGACGCCCACGGCGGTGCCCAGAACGTGCCCWTCACGGGCGGTGCCTGGCGCCGCCTCCCCGCGCGCGGTACCTGTCGCCCCGCGCACGCGGCTTCCCGCCCGGCCGCGGCGCGCGCAGCCCCGCGCGCACCTGGCGCCCGGTCCCGGCGCGCGGGTCCCGGCGGGCGGCGCGGCCGCCGCGCGTCCCTCCCCGCGCCCCCCCGCCCCGCGCCGCGGCGGCGGCGGGCGGAGCGCGCGCGGCGGGGCCGCCCCGGGCGGCGGGCGCGGAGCGGAGCGGAGGCCGGTGAGAGGCGGGAGCGGAGCCGCCGTCCCGGCGGGCCGGGGTCGCGTGCGGTACCGTGCGGGGCGCGGGATGGTGCGGCCGGGGCGCGGGCGATGCGCACGTGTGCGAGCAAGCGGCCGGGCAAGGAATCCCGTGGGAAACGAGCGC